TGCCCTTTCGAAACATTTTTGGGGCTTAATTTTCGATCTCAGACACAGGGGACGATTTCTTCAGTTTCCTCCTTAAGGCAGCCCAGCCCATTTGTAGCTGCCCGAAGAAAAAAACCCCTATAGTCAGCAGAAGTTCTCCTCAAATAATAGGGTCCCCTATGAATTTTTTTCGAACGATCTAAATCATCTATTTTTTAAGTCTATATTCATAGATTATCCATGCAAAAAATTAGACAAATCCCGTTTCGACACCCATACAAAATCAATGGACACGGTGCTTCAAGAAAATACTTGAATTTCAATAATTTAATTGAGTTATCAAATGATATCGGATTTAAGTGTTTTTCTATAAAGATGAGTGTCCCTCAAATAAGTTAATTTGAAGAATCCCTCAATGGAAGCTCTGTGTGTGTATAAAGGTATTGTACACTATAGCCAATTTATTTACAAAGCGTTATTGCGACTGTAATATTGTAGTTCATATTACACATAAAGAACGCATTAATTATAGTTAACTATACTAATAGCAGCTTCAAAGGCTTCCCACTTAGATTGAGACACTGTTGGGAATTCCCCTGCCAGTCAGTCCTCCTTCGCTAGTAGGAAATAGCAAAGTGTAGGGCACCTTCACCGGTCCAACTCGGTTCTTCAGTTTCTCATCATTGTTCATACTTGTAATTCTGTCCTCAATTTCAGCCAGTTTCTTTCCAAATTTATCAAAGGCTTTCAATGGTTCTGTGTCTGCTGTCCACTCAGGAGTGTCTCTCTGCCCCAAATACACTTCATCAGTAGAATGCCTTGACAGAATTTCAATAAGGGCAATGCCAAGCACTATCTGCAGCTGAGCAGTAATTGTTTTCAAGAAAACTGTATCGGGGCTGGATTCGAGCTCTTTGTACTCAGGAGTTCCCTTCTCAGGCATGAATTTTCGGCTTATAGTAGGGCGGTTGGGGAGGTAGCCTGCATAAGGGTACTGTCCAAAGTTGACAGCTGCGTGGAGAGCAGAAGCAGTCCATATGATGATAGTGCATGTTTCTACCAGGTCTTCGCGAGTCTGCATTTTAGGCCACCAGGGCTCATCTTTTTTGTCACCATGGCCTTCCTCTACAAGCTCCTTCCACCAGGATTGGAGTTCAGTGTCTTTTTGAATTATGTCATCAGTCTTGTAGTAGAAAGAGCAATAGTCTTCAACCCAAGTTTTAATTGCAAACCAGATTTCAATCCCATCAACAGCATATGGATAGTCCTCGATCAGTAGGCGAAGACCATGTGGAGAATTTTCATCCTTGACCGCAACTCCTCTGTTGATCAAAGGCAAAGCAATGTAATTAGAATAAGAAATGGATATTTATTACTTATATTGTGCTCATTTGAGTTACTTATGTGAGCAGTGGCTAATAACTCACAAAGTGTAGAGTTTTGTTTACCTCTTGATGAGATCTTCAGGGAAAGCTTGCTCAGTGAAAACCCAATCCTTATAAACCACTGATGACATCTCCATGGCATACCTAGCTGGAAAAACTGTCGTCTCCAGAACGCCGCCAGCATTAATCAGGATTTGCCTGGCAAATGCATTTATGTTCATAGTGTCACGGAAGTGAGGATGCAGAAGTTTGTAAATTGGATGAACCACGCTTAGCTGCCTGTTTGTAGCTATTACAACTGGCTCACACACTGCATGGGTGTTCAACCTGTAGCCAAAAGATTAAAGGATTATCAGAAACCCAATTCAAAGTATATGATGAATTCATTTTCTAAGTCTTTTTCTTTGAAAGATTAGTACCAGTGACTGATTAGTTGATGATATCCAGAGTCATTTACAGCCACATAAGCTTTAGCCAGTTGCCATATGGAGCCTTCTACACCCTCTTCAGCTGGTGTATATACTTTACTAATGCGACCAAATCGATCTCCATCAGGATGAGGCAAGCTTAATTCAATCACCAATGGCTTCAAAGTTCCATCACTTTTCAAGAAAAGAACTGTTCTGCTAGCATAGATCTTGTTGGAAGTTGAGTTTATCCGCCTCAGGTATGGCATCAATGCATCATGATGATCTAATATGAATAACTTGTTCTGCTTGAATGCCTATCCAACCAAATTTTCGTCATTATGAAATGATATAAA